TTTTTTTTTTTTTTTTTTTTTTTTTTTTTTTTTTTTGCTAGTTTTAATTCCAACCTGCAGAATTTTCCCTGACTTTTACTGTCTCCAGTTTTGCTAAAACTAGTCATCGCCACTGTCAGTTAAGCCCTGCCTTGATATCAAGGGCAGTCCCTCTAATCATCCCCCTGGAGTTCAGCACCTTCATCCATTTTTGAACCAAGGCTGTGGTGACGTCAGGAACTGAGTGGTCCTGGTGGAATCCAAATGGAGTGTCAGTGAGCAATTGTTGTTCAGCGATGGACATTGGTTAGCTCAGTTGGCTGGATGGCTGTTTTACAATGCAGAGTAATGTGGCTCCATTCGTGCTGAGATAATCATGAAGGATTCTCCTTCTCAACCTCTCCCAAGCTGTGGTGACCGTCAAGTTAAACCATCACCAGTTGTCTCTGTCTAATGAGAAAATAGTGTTATGGTCTGCGGGACTGTGGCGACTAATTTGGTTACGGCCAGATAGCACTGATGACCTCTTCTGTCAGCTTACTGATAGAGATTAAACTGAGCGCTAATTGGCTGGATTGCATTTATCCTGCTTTCTGTGTACAAGGCACACATGGGCAATTTTCCACATTTCAGATAATGGTAGTGTTGTAGTTTTACAGGAACATCATAGCAGTGAGCTAGTTCTGTAGCATAAGTCTTCACTGCTGCTAAGGTGTTATTAAGGCCAACACTGGTGAGGATTGCAGTAGTGCAAATTTTTGAAGGAGCAGGATATCTCGTGGCTAATTTCCAAATTTTGTATTGAAATGTTTGTGTACTCAAGGTTGCTGTTCATTTTACTCCATTAAAATGGTATGTGCTGTTGGCTGCACTTATTATCTACACCAAATTCTGGCACTCGCCTTCCATTCATTCCTCCATTAAATTGGTGCTGTATTATTTAGGGGTCCATGTAATATTATTAAAATATAGTGGTCAAGTACAAAATCATCACAAATACTTTACTTCTGGAGCTAGAATAAGAAGATTTTCTATAAGCTACAGAAAAGTCCTAGCTAATCACATCTGAAGTAGTAGGTACAGTTCTGTGCACCATGAGAGATGATATGATATATTGGCCCATTTGAACAAATAGTGTAAATTTGTTGCCAGTGTTCTTAAGGTTAGATTGTGAGAAGAGACTATATATGCTGGATTTATATTCAGAATATAGAAGAATGAGGTGTGATTTGATATTAAGGCTTTTAGGATTGATTTTGAGGAATTAATTAGGTAGAGAGAGAAACTGGTGGCTGGAGCCGAGGACACAAGGGCTTAACCTTAAAATCGGAGAAATTAGGCAATACCTCTTCTTGTAAAATTTGGGACGGTTATGAAAGCAATTACCCTCTTACTAAAATTAACAGATGTTAGCTCAATTAACTGTCTTAAATCCAGGATTGATGGCTTCTCACTGAATAATTGTATTGGATTTGGAGTTCAGGCAAGTGTATGAAGTTAAGGTACAGATCGGCCTTGATCTCATTAGTTGCACAAGCTAAATATCTTCTGTCACTATTTTCCTATTTAACTTTTAGTCAGAAGGAAATCTGAGGGAGTTGAATATTTTCCTGTTCTTCTTGACACCCCATGGCATCATAAGCATTTCTAGGTCAGTTTATATGTTGGCTTGATAAATGAAGTAATGTTTCTGAACCAAATCTCGGTGTAGTACTTGTGTGCATTATTAGTGAGGCGGGCACGCGTCTATGAAAGAGCATTGAATATAACTTTCACTGGTTCAGTTGGGATCCATGTTGCTTTCTTAAAGAGATCTGCATCACTTTGAACTGTGGCATTTGACCCAGATCCAGTTCTGAAATTCAAGAAAGTTTGTTTCACTGGGAAAGTGTAAACAAGGAGAACTTCTAAGTTGCATTGGAAAAATCCCAAATTCATGAGAATTGTGTGTTACTGCTTAACATCCATCATTAAAACGGTCAGTGATTTGACTAAGATGTGGTAAACAGCAACTGTTTGCATTACTGCCAATTTTAGTTGCTGGTTATAGTATCTTTAAATGATCCATTTATTCTAAAAATGTCTGTGTTCACATACCATGTTGCACTTTGCAGCACTGAATCCAGAACAATCTTAATAGTTACCTGTAAGTACTCCCCTTTGAAGTGCTTCTTGCACTGAAATCAACAATTGCTATCAAGTCTTGCACTGCCATACTCACCATTGTGTGTCAGTGTGTGAATCATTATTGGCATGAGCTGATTCTCAATAAACAGTGGGACTGTGAGGAATACAACATTTGGATTAGTGGAATGCAAGCTAAAATAATATCCAGTGGAAATGCGGTTTGCCTAATGGGGCAGTTTACAATTTTGTAAAGGTTATTTCTCTTTCAGTGGACATTTTCTTAATTAATCCCAACCCTCGTGTACTTATTCTGTGCTGTCAGGTTTTGCTAATAAGATTTCTTCCATTGCCCAGGGACGGTGATGGATGAAAATATGTCTTTGTGCATATATTATCAGTTTCTGCTGTCCTCCAAGAATTGGTTATTTTTATGGTAACATAAATAGCGGCTGCTTGTTTTCATCACGTTGACATTGGTATAGTATCACAGCCAATTGTATAGCTCTGGTCTCGTCATTACATAAAGAGGCGTTGAAGAAGGTACAAAACAACTTAGAATTTACCATAGTTGTGAGGTTACGTCTATTGAAAGTAAGTCTGAAGAGGCTGTGGCTGCCTTTCTGTAGAAAGGCAAGACTAAGGGATTCTTGCTGGTTTCATTTGATCTTTGCCTCCCCACCTCCCTGCAACCCCCATAAATCCAAAAGAAATTCAAGAAACGCTACTTCATCTAGGGAACAATGCGTGTGCCGTCTAAACTGAATAGAATAGATGTTTTTAAGGGAGGGTTTAATCGTGTATGCAGGAGAAGGAAGTGGAATCGAAAGCTGATAGGGTAAGAGTGTGGAATCGTGAATGTCAGCATTAACCAGTTAAGTGACCTGTCAGTTTGCTGCTTTAAGGTTCAACGGTAAACCTTTGACTACTGTGAACACGCCTTGTTGCTGATTGTGTTTATGGTAGAATCATACGTTGAGAAGTTTTAAGTTTGAGGTTTCACTTATTACACAGGGTGTGGCAGGAAACCCAGTCGTGAAATCAGTTTTGGATAAAACAAAGCATTCTGTGGAGTCCATGATCACCACCCTGGATCCAGGCATGGCTCCCTATATCAGTAAGTATAACACCTTAAAAACTAACTTATTTTGCTTTAATGATTCAAAAATTAAGTAAATCTGAAAAAGATACTTTGCAGTTTTTGATATTCCACTTACTTATTATAATCCACTTCCATTCTAACTTAGTCCCTCTGTAGCTCCAATCTTCTGTGCCTTTGTCACCTCCCAGAGCTGTCTGGTCACCTAGATAGCCTCCTACTCTCTGTAAACCTCTGCTCATTTGAATTTCTGTTGCCCACTCATTGCCCATATCCTTTACAGTGGTTTCCCAGATCACAGCAAATTTATTTTCATGTTTAAATGCACTTGTTTTCCATCCCATTCTTACTCTGTAACCTTCAGTATTAGAACCCCAACACACCATTTTCAGTAGCAAATGCACTGACAACTTCTTGATATTAACAAAAACATTCTGTACCCTTGCTCAAACTCTGGGCCCCTGTGCTGTACGAGAGAAAAGGCAGAAAGCAAAGAATAAAGATTGTACTTTACAAATCAAAAACTAAGTTGAAAAGCTTTATAGCAGTAAATTGCATTCTTGCTAGCTGTATAGGTTTTAGGTTGTGATCTTCTTGAACTTTTGAGTTTGTATTGAGGTGGGTCATTTTTCTGATTTTGTTTTTATCTGCACCCTAGGTTCTTTACCAATCTGGTTTTCTCTGACTCATTAATGTCTGCAAAATGTGTGTGAAGCCATTGATAAAGCAGTTTGTCAGCAATGTACGTGATTGCAATGCTCCTTTTATTTTCTTTCAAATTGATCAATTATTGAATTTAATTGCCTCATCGCAGAGGAAGAACAAAATGTTGGTTTTTCTGTTGTTTTCTGACTTCAGGACATCTGAAAGGCTTCAGCCAATTTAATACTTCTGAGGTGTAGCCACTGTTGTAATGTAAAGAGAGGTTGATTTTAATTTCGTCACAGATTATCTGGCCACTGACTATTTGTGGCCTTGGTCTATTTCAAAATTACTCCTTTAACTATCTGTCTGAGATTACTGTACTCTGCCAATTCTGGCTTTGTTATGGTCACCACCCCTAAAAGCTCCTTAAGTGACTTTGTGCCAAATTTTGTTTTCTCTGGTGATGTGCAGTAAAGGAACTACGTAAATAACTGTTTAAAATCGGTTTCTGAAACTAATGCTTTGTCATAAATGTTTGAAGATTCTTTCCTGTTGCTCTCATACTTATGGACTGAGAGTAATTGGTTAAGATGCATGAAGTGCATATTGCTCCATATTGCGCTCTCATTAGGGAGCCACAAACGGCGGGTGGTCATGCCGCAGACAAGGGGCAAGGTTGCGAAGGCAGGATACTCGTGGTAATTTCAACTGATATGGGAATTGACCCTGTACAGTTGGCATCACAGTATATAGCAATGATTTCAAATGGAGTATCATTTTTAATATTTCCAAAATTGCAAATGTTACGAAGCTAACTGGGAGTGTATGTTAGGAATGTCTGTTGCAGCTTGGAGGATTTTGGGAGGTTTAGTGAATGGACATGACAAATGGAATATAATTCAGAAAAGTGAGGTTATCTACTTTGTGCAGAATGCTTAAATGGTATGAGGTTGGAAAGCATAGATGTGTGAAGGGGATCTAGTGTCCTGGTCACTCTTGGCTAACACGCAGGTGCAGCAAGCCACTGATAAGGCTAATAGAATGTTGATCTTTACTGCAAGAGGATTTGAATGCAGGAGTAGTGAAATTTTGCTCCAATTGTATAAGATTTTGGTTAAACCGCACCTGGAGTATTGTGTGCAGTTTTGGTCCTGTTCCTTTGGGAAGAATAGTATTGCAATGAAGGGAATGAAACAGAAGTTCACCAGATTTGTTCCTGGCCTGGCTGGACTGTCCTAGGGGGAAGAAATTGGACAAACAGGTCCTGTATTCTCTGAAGTTTTGAAGAATGAGTGAAGTAGTTCAAACTTAGAAAATATTTCAAGGGATAGACAAGGTAGATGCAAGTAAGAGGTTTCCCCCATTGGAAAGTCTGGGACAGGAGGCACAATTTCCTTTTTTTAAAATGAGGAGGATGCCTTTACTTCTACGATGAGAAACTTTTTATTTAAACTCAAGGTTATGACTGTTTGGAATACTATGTTGCAAAGAGCTGTGGAGGTTCTTGAGTATGTCTTAAGATAGAGACGTACAGTAGCATTCAGGATAATGGGGATGAGGTGGCTAAAAGACATTGAAATGCTGGATCTGCCATGATCATATTGAATGGTAAGCAGACTGAACTGGCTGAATTACCTACTTCTGTTTCTATGTTCCTGTTTTGCATTACAAACCAGCCATCTGGCTAACTGCACTGTCAGATTGCTATTAATGTTGGTTCTTAACTAAGGATGTTTGGTAATAAATAAATTCCTGCAATGGTTAAACCCAAGGTAAGATCTTGTAATAAATAAAGTAGCAGGAAATGTTCAAAAAACAAGTTACTGCTGAAATATAAACAAAGTGCTGAAAATACTGAACATATCAGGCAGCATCTGAGTTGTGAAGAAAATGTAAATTGAAGCAAGTTCCAGGATCTGAATGACCCCCTCTTGCTTGCATTTTGCTAGAACAAAATACTGGTTGCTGTTGGCGTGCATCCATGCGTTTTGCAGAAATTGACAGAAGTAGTAGAAGTGGACTGACACTCATTTAGAAATCTCTTGACTAGGGATAGAAAACCATGAAAATGTCAATGTAGTAAACCATTTTCAAAAGGGAGGGGTGACTAATCTGAATAACCAAAATAGCTAAATATCTAGATTGGGGGGGAAATTGTCATGGCCAACATCTACCTTAGAAAGGGGTATCATGTTTGAGAAACAAAACTTTGAGATGACATCTGTGCAGTGGATGTGGTGCACACGTACATGTGCTTATATAAAAGCTGCAGTAAGTTACCACATGGGGCTAGCATAGAAATGAAGGAACATGGGATTTGTGAGAGGTATTATATTTTATTAAATCATTTTAACAGGAGTACAAATGTAGGGGTTGATTGTTTCTCGATGGCTTGATGTAGGAGGCACTGTCCCACGAGGTTCTGCGAATGTAGATATTAGCAGTTTGAAGGTGAAGTCAAGGCAGTGGTATCTGAATTGGCAAAGAATGTTAAGAAAAGGCTTAAAGTTAAAAGTTTTATATTACAGATGAAAATCAGAAATGAAGCAGAATGCTACAAACACCAGTTCAACCAGCATTTATGGAGGAAAAGTTGAGTTAATGTTTCAGGATTTGTGGTGACAAAGGGCTGTGGTGATTTAACTAAAATATTTGTTAGTCAGCATGTGGAAGGCAGACACTTGTTCTTGCTGGAATCTGTCAGAATGATCCACTTGCCTGTCTCTCTCTGGTGCTCAATGTCCTGCTGTTATTAAATTGCAAATACCAATTGGAATTCTCAACATTGAAGTTAGTCTGGCAATAGTAACAATTTACAATCTACATTGCTGTGCAGAATTTGAAGGGCGAAAAGGGTGAGTGGTGAGTAATAATGAGAAACTCAAATGGCAGAGGCACCAAACCAATATTTTGTCTCTATTTCCATAGTGGAAGATAATTTCTCCCAGAAACTGCAGTTATTATAGAGGAACTTGGTGAAATTACAATAAGTAGCGAGAAAGTATTAAGTAAACTGATGGGCTTAAAGGCATAGGAGTCCCCAGAGCCTGATGACTGCGCCCTGGGGCATTGAAGGAGGTGGCAGCAGAGATAGTAGAAGCATTAGTTATAATATTCCAAAATTCCTTGGATTCTGGAATGGTACCAGTGGATTGGAAACATGTTAATGTGACACCCTTATTCAAAAAGTGGGAAGCTATAGACCAGTTAGTTTGACCTCTGTAGTGGGGAAGTTGCTCGAGTCAACTAGAGTCAATCATACAGGAATAGATAACTGAGCACTGGGAAAAACAAAACTCAATTCAAATTTCAGCACAGCTTCCTGAAGGGCAAATCATGCTGGACAAACTTGCTGGAGTTCTTTGAAGACGTAACCAGCAAGGTGGATAATGGGATTGCAGTGGATGTGGTATATGTAGACTTCCAGAAGGTGCTTGACAAGGTGCCACATAAAAGACTGATTCAGAAGGTTAGATCCCAGGGAATTGAGTGTAGAGTATTGGCTTTGATAGAGGATTAGCTGGCTGACAAAGCAGAAGATCAAGTGCATCCTTATCTGGATGGTGAACTGTAACTAGTGGGTACTGCAGGGTTCAATTCTCAGACCTCCATTATTTACAATCTATACAAATGATCTACAAGAGGGGACAGAATGTGACATAGCAAAATGCACGGGTGATGCTAAAATAGGTAGGAAAGCAGGCTGTGATGAGGAAATAGAATTTACACATGGCTGTTGATAGGCTAGGAGAATGGACCAGAATCTGGCAGATGGAGTTTAATAAGGATACGTGCGAGGTTGTCTATTTATTATTTAAATAGGAAGCAGATTCATAATGTGTCAGTGCTGAGAGATCTGTGTGTCTTTGTGCATGAATCACAAAGTGGGTATGCAGGATGCAATCAGAAAGGCAAATGGAATCCTGGCATTTATTGCAAAAGGGCTGGATTATAAAAGTAGTTGTTACAATTATATAAGGCATTGGTGAGACCACATCTGGAGTATTGTGTCCAGTTTTGGTCTCCTTACTTGAAGGACATGGTGGCACAGGAGGCTGTTCAGAAGGTTGATTGCAGGGATGAAAGGTCTGTTGTACAAGGAGCGGTTGAATAATGTGGGCTTGTACTCGCTAGAGTTCAGAAGAATGAGGAGGATCTGATTGACGTAAAATGCGAGAGGAGATTCATCAGAAAAACATTGAATAGATATTCCCCCATGTGGGGCAGTCTTGAACAAGTGATCACAGTGAGAGGGAATAGGTTCAAAACTGAGATGAGAAACTAATTCTGAGGGTTATAAATTTGTGGAACTCCTTTCCCAAGAGTGCACTGTAAGCAGAATCCATTAACAGATTCAAGAAAGAAATAAATGTGTTTCGGATGAAAAGTGGGATAAAGGACTATGGGGAGCAGGCAGTAAAGTGGAGTTGAGACCGGGATAAGATCAGCCACGATTATGTTAAATGATGGGCTGGGTTCAAAGGGCTGAATTGCCTATTCCTGTTCCTGTGTTCCTATGGTAATGTTTAGAGTTAGTCCATGTGAGTTTAACCTTGTTTTGTTTTCTTTTGTGGCATGAGTGAACATTTACGATGATTGGATATTTCCTGGAGGGAAGAGACTTCTCTTTCACTTGTCGTTTTATTTTTGCTTCTCCCTCCAGAATCAGGTGGTGATCTGGATGTTTTGGTAACTTCCAACAAGGAAGTCAAAGTGGCAGCTGTTCGGGATGCATTCCAGGAAATGTTTGGATTGGCCACTGTTACTGGGGAGGCTGGCCAATCAAACATTGCCCCACAACCTGTTGGTTATGCAGCAGGATTAAAGGTAAGATTTTATTTTCTGCTAACTCCATTTGTTTGCAGCAAGACCAAGCCGCATTGTTGACCTGATGTGGTTAATGATGATCTATTCTTCCCTTCTCCCTCCTGTTTGCGTCGTGTGCCACCTTTGAAATCACGAGACCCCCTAGGGGGTCTCTATGTACTATATGTCCCATTCATACTGGATATAATGATCATGGAGCTGCTGATCTTTCAGCTTGCATTCCAGAAGCAGTGTAATAGAACAAGATGCTGTGCTCAAATTCTTTTACACAAGGTAGAGTTAACCCTTTACCTATAACTGTGTTCTGAAAGTGTAATTAGTCATTTGATAGTACAGAATTTGGGTACTGCTGAAAAAGACATTTTGTTAAGCTTTCAATTATTTTAGGATTGTTGGTCAGGCTCAGTCTGGTGCACTTGTACTGGAAGCTACAGAGGGCCTTATTCTTTGAAGACTGAAAGAACATGTTTCAGTCATTGTACCTGTTTCAACTCAACAAAAAACAGGTAATGGTCAGCCTTTGGTTTATTTCTCAAGACAATGCCTTGATCAAAGTGAACCTACTTGGTTTAAATTTAAACAAAGCTTAACAGTTAAATGGCAGTCATCAGTGGTACATTCTTCATGGCAATGCCTCTATGAATCCGAATCTTTATGCCAACCAATCAGCACACACTTCTCATACAGTATAAAAATGGCTGTTTTCCTTGCAGTGATCTTTTTTTCTTTTGTTGTTCTGATGAGTGCAACACGAAAAAGACACTTTATTGAAGCTTTTTTCCAGCATTGCAGTTACAACAATTGATTTTTGTAGACAAATGAAACAACCAATTTACTCAGTAAGTTCTCAAAACTGCAATAACGTGGATGATCATAGTCTGTTTTTAGTAGTATTAGTTAATTAAGTGGTGGCCTAACTTCTGAGCACCCTAATTCCCGTGGAATTTTCCATGTCTGCTTATACCAGTGCCTTGTCTATTTGTATAACACATCATAACATGAAACAATGGACGTGTTGCATTCCAAAGTCACCAAGATAATGTGTTGAAGTTTCTGGACTGGAGCTTGAACACATGACAATACTGTAAGGAGCCATTACTGACTCTCATTATTTCACATAAAAATGTCCAATGAATCTTGTCTCAGTTTGCATCTACCAGCTTCTCAGCCTGTACTGCAGAGAGACCCTTCTGTCCCTAATTTATTGTGTCTCAAAGATCGTGTCTGGCTTACAACAACTCATGACTAAATACAGGTCACTAAAGCAAATTAAAAATTGGAGGCTCAATACATGTTCATGGGGCAATCTTTATTAGCATCTCTTGTCTGCCACTGTGTATTCAACCAATTTCCTATCCACTTTCAAATTCTTTTCCCAACATCTTCCTCCCCCTTGTCCCCACTCTCAACTTCTCTGGTATGTTAAAATTACAGCAAACTTTGTTTTGACTGGCATGTTGTGAACTGGCACTCTTGATAGACCAGCAAAAATTATGTACCTCGAATACTACAAAGTTTACTGTATTATTCTGTCCAATCATTATAACTTTCTAATTTGTTTACCGCAGTGTAAATTTAATTGTTCAATCGAATGGTTATATGAAATATCAGCAGTTGATTCAATTTTGAGTCAATTACTCATCAAATACTGCGATCTACCTCTATCAGAGTAGTCAGTTGAGGGTGCAAGTGAGAAGTGATAAGTTTTACTTCAGGCAAACTTGCACTATTAGGTGATTTATGATGTAAATACAGTTATAACAGTGATGTGTATCCCCCTGCATTATGTTTCCATTACTTGGTCTGTTTTTTTACATTGATTATGTGGACCTCTGATCAAACAACACAGTCCTGGTCCCATAGATGCCAGTTAATAAAATGTTTGCTGTGTTAGGAAAGTCTTCACATACTAATACAATCGAGAGAGACTTGCATTGCTTCTCATGGCCGCAATATGTCCCACAGTGTTTTACAGCCAATTAAACACCACGTTAAAGTGTAATCAATATTGTAATGTAGGAAATGCTGCAACCAGTTTGCACACAACATGGTCCCAAAAACAACAATGCCATTTCCTGTCTGTAAAGACTACTTTTTATGTTTCTTTATTTCTGGATGTGGGCAAAAGGATGAGAAAACAAAGCTGCCTTAAACTAAGGAAACAGTGGAAAGAGATGTTGCAGTTTTAAAACCAGTTAGTGGAACTCGTTGAGAGCTGTCTTTACATTGTTGCTGCCTTCAAACAGTAAGGGAGGATTGCTGGGTCTGTATTCAAGATAATTTTGTCCAGAGACGGCCTGTTAATTTGTCTTTTCAATTATCAGCACTAGTTGGGAGAGTCAGGAGTGCTCAATATGTCAGCCACTCTTTGGCTCCCTGACAGCCTGTGTAAAAGCAATACAGTGGCAGAACAGCATTCTCTGTCCTTTGTAGAGAAATAACAAAGAATTGGAAGATAGCGATCTATTCTCTCTGTCCCCATTTTGCCATACACGACTGCTTCTAATGAGCAACCGACCAATTGCTGTGCCAACTGCACTGTGTCCCGGGATAGAACTGAAATGACTGGGAAGGATGATCGTTGATTGGAAGGACTGAAGAAGCAAAAGGATACCTTGTCGAATCCATGGACTGCTGCTGTTGAACTGTGTTCCTCTAAATGTTTGTCTGTTTCTCTTTGTCTGTCAGCTGTGTAGGAATTTAAGGAGTAGAGTCTGTAAGTTGATAATTCATATCATCTTTGCCTGTAGTAGGAGCTGATTTTGTTTTTTTTTATTTAAAAATAAGTTTCTCCTTAATTACAGAAACGTGGTCAGTATTTTCTGTTAACCTCAGTTCATCAAACAGGAAAAATAGAACTTTAAGTACTTTGAATAAATCTTTAACTTTTGTAGTGATCCTGCGAATGCTGGATGCTCGAATATCGGTGTCCTTTCACAAGTGGAGTGTGACATTGCCCTATAACCACCTTCACCCAGAAAACTACTAGCAACCTTGACTTTATGCCCAATATCATAGGTCATTTACCAGCAATGTAAGCAATTAATTTTGGCTTTTACTTCAAATGGTATTGAATTGAACCACTGTCCAGAAATGTATTGTAAAGTATGATTATTTATGAATTACAAATAACAATACAATTTTAAAAAGTAGTGTGCATTATTGAGAAGTGCATATTAATATGAAATGCTAAAATCAAATTCCTGTTGTCGCTTTTGTTTATTTTTCAGAATTGGAATGTTGTTCATTCTAATGTGAGATTAGATTCCATCAGCCTAGGAACCTTTTCTCTAAGTGAACTGTGTTCCAATTGCAGTCTTGGATTTATGATGCTTAATAATCCACAATTAGACACATTTGTTGGATTGTACAAATTGAATTGTCTCAGGATCTGTTCAGTCAGTGGGCACTTTGTTAGTCAGCAGTATTCAGTTCACTGACCTCAAGTTCAGAGCCCACACTGAGTTATAAGCCAGAAACCAGGCCAGAATACAAAAGCAAGGAAGATGTGCAGAACCTTTCTGAATTACTGGAGTAATCCAAATGGAGTCTGATCATCCCCACACGTTTGCAGAGGCATGCTGGCAACTCATTGTGCAAACTCCTTGGGAGTGCAATCAATTAGAAACTTTCTCTGCCTTTGCAAATGTTGTTCAGTCATTTACCCATTCCACTTTGTTGCTACTTTTGAGCATTTGAACGTGCTGATATTTGATCCTGGCTCTCTTGATGCTACCTTTAGTCGTCTTATCACCCCCTCTGCACGACTGGTTTTGCCATCTCTTCTCATGAAGTATTTTACATGCCTGTTATCTTGTGTTCGGTTCATTTTATACAGATTTATATTGATGTTTACAGCATAAAACAATGCCATTTGATCCAACTTTTCTGCATCAGTAAACCAAAAATAAAACTGGCCCAATCCCATTATCCAGCTTCTGGTCTGTATTCCTGGAGGTTGTGGCAACCACTCCATTGGTATCCTCCTGCTTTTCTCCTCTCTGTTTACCACCCTACCAATTTTCAAGTCATCAACAAACTTCTATCTCCTACATTAAAGTCCAAATCATAATGTACATCACAAGGGTCCCAGCACTGAGACTGTAGAACCCCAACATGAAGCAGACTTCCAATCGCTGAAACCTCTTCAACCAATTTGGATTCAGCATGCCACTTCACCTTGTATTCCATAAGCTCTTACTTTCTTGACTATTTTGCCATGAGGGACCTTCTCAATCATATCAAAACCTTTTATAGAATTTTTAAAAATTTCATGCTGATCACAGCAAAAGCATCATCTTCATCAATGCTCCTATATACCACATTATGAAAATTGATCCTCTTCTATCATGCCATCTTTTGAGGTTTTGAATTATTGCATCTTGCTTTAGTTGCCTGCAATCAGAAACCCATTCAAAAATTGTCTCCATGCATACACTTGCTTAGCACTTCTTCCACTATTCAAGTGATTTCTGGCCTGTTTTTCCAAAATTTATCCTGGACCTTTACCACTTAAAGCTTGTTGTAATATCAGGAAAGACCAAATAGGCTGGGACTTTTTTTTTTTTTTTTTTCCCCCTCTAGGTGACTTAACAGATGTCTTTAAAAGCTATGAAAATGATGTCCAGTAAAGTAGATGTGCAGAAGATTTGATTTGACCCATGGGAGTATACAGCTATGGTCCAGCAAAAAACAACAACCCATAAGGCATAGGTGGAAGCAAATGGCATAGGTGATAACAGTGAAATGAGGAGTGGTAAGAGGAGGCTTGTGTAGAGCTTAAAAGCCACGACAGATGTCTTGGGTCACTTGGCCTGTTTCTGTGCTGTAAGGTCTTCTGTAACCGTATGGGACTCGACATGAGGCATTCAAGCACTGTTGGCAGTTCAGAGAGATGTTGTGGTTCTCTAGCAGAAGGCCTGAAGTTCAGCACAAACTGGGAAAAAGTTTGAAACAAGAAATTATAAGGAACGGGTCATTTACAGATTGGAACCTATTTAAGGCCAGTGTCAGACGGGTCAGAGTGACCATGTCATGGAATTGGTAATCAGAGTAATGAAGGGGAAAAGCCCAGAATCCTTAAAATGTGATGAGCCACATGATGGAACCTAGACCTTATTTGAGGGATTGATGGGCTTAAAACTTTCCCTCTGTGTTTATCTTTACATTCCATGATAGTTCAAAGTTAAGAGTCTTGGGAAATTTTACTGTTCTCTTCTGGATCGTACATAAATAGGAAGGGTTTAGAGGGATATGGGCCAAATGCTGGCAAATGGGACTAGATTAATTTAGGAAATCTGGTCAGCATGGACGATTTAGACCGAAGGGACTGTATTACGGGTGCTCTGTAGAAATAAGTTAGCCTCTTCTTATGCCAGCGTTTGTTTTACAATCTTGCCACTAGAGGGCAGAGGTGACCAAAATAAAACACGGATCCCTGAAGTCAGTTGAAATAAAAATCTGAATGACTGTGTACAATGGGCAGCTAATTGACAATAATGTGTTTGTTGCCTCAGCACTTGAATTTCATGACCCTTGCGATTTGTAATCGGGTTTTTATTGTGCAGTTGTGGATCAACGTAGATAATTGAACATTTCTGAAAATTCTGTTAATCTTTTTTCCTGAGGTCATATCAATGTGCATCATTACCTACACAATAAAATAACCTACAGTTCTTGAAATATGAAATGTAGGTGCAGAGTTTGTGTTTAATATCCAGTTGTTTCATTTTCATTTTGTTTTCTAGGGAGCCCAAGAGAGGATAGATAGTCTGAGGAGGTCAGGAGTGATTCATGAGAAACAGGTGACTGTTTCCATTGAGAGCTTCATTGCCGAATTGCTCCCAGACAGGTGAGCAACATCTCCTTTTTATGAAGTAGGCAGGACATGTCCCCTTTGTCTGACTGCTGCATGACAAGTATGGAAGTCCAGTCTGAATGTTAATGGATGGATGCATATTATGGAATGCCTGAGCGCATGAATGGGCAGCTGGGTGATAGTCTGACCGGAGAGCTTTCAGGAGGAAGGATGGTCAATGACGGTGACTGGGTGTCAATTTTGGTAGTATCCACATCTAGCATTCCCTGGCTAACTTTTCAGTTAAGTCACAAGGAACTGTCCAGCCCCAGCTCAAAGGTAGAGACATACTTGCAGATGATCCCAGGGTGGAGGGAAATTACCTATGTTGGTTCTCATGTTGAGTACCAGAGTATTCTGATGCATATTTCTGGTCATACATTCAATCTAACGATCAGCCTCAAGAAGGTTTGGGCTGGTTTTCAGCAAAAAGACAAGGCGAACAAGGAAAAGTAGAAATCCTTCAAAGTGGAAGAGCTTTTTTTTTTTTTTTTTTTTGAAAAAAGGTACAAATAACGTAACTAAATACAAAGCCAGAATATTTTTTAAAAAAAAAACAAATTTGTAAATGTTATCAAATATAACAAATGTTTTAACATCAAATTGGGAAGCAAATGAAATTCCGGGTTCTTCAGAAGCTTGATTTGAGGAACAGTTTTTGTTTTGCCACGTGGAAATAAGAACAAATCTCCCATTTTGCATCGACTAATTCTGCCCAACCACTATTCCATGATGACAGAAATGAATTTTAAATGATTTAACACTGCCCCTTACACCTGTCGGAGTAGGGAAAATTTGTGATCAACCAAACACACTTGCTATTAACGCCAGGGATTGGAGCAGTAAATCTTGGCTAGTGCTTATGCAGCTCCTGTGCAAGTGAGGCAAGACACTTGAGTGGTGTAAGGAAAGAGCCTTTGTTGAAATAACTGTTGGGTGTTGCAAGAAGAGAAGGTGTACTGCATAGATTTTAAACCAACCCATTTGTGCAAATTTCCTCTGGACAGATTCCTCAGTTATTATCAGATATGTGCTGTAATTTGTCTGTTTTACTAAAGGATGATTTTTGTATTAATTTGTGTCCTGGAATTACCAGCTGTGAGTATCTGACTTCATTTATAAATGTTACTTTCCAGGTGGTTTGACATTGGTTGTTTGATTCTTGAAGATCCAGTTCATGGTATTCATTTGGAAAATTTCACACAAGCAACGCCAGTGCCTTTAGAATATGTGCAACAGGTCAGTGTGTTGCTAGTACTGAATCCTGATGTTTTCATAAAATCATTTGCTTTATAAATCTAAGTGGTTCGGTTTAAAATGTGTCATGTTGACCTTAAGTGAACAATTGAAAAGTTTCAATTATAAAAGTGTTCACTCAACTTTGCATCAAACCAATGCATAGATTTTATGTCTAACTTTGTTGCAAATGTAATTCCCGTATATTGGCTCTGGGCATGCAGCATTTTACAGCCATGATGACTTTGGGAAGGAAATTTGTTCATTTTTTTTTTTCTTTGATGTTAGCCTTTTAAATGTTTAATGTTAATACAAAAACCAGGTTGTTTTTGTTTTTGGTATTCTTCAGGTGATTTCATGCTGTGAAAGATGCAAACATGATCAGCCAAAATGTTTTCTTCACACAATTTTACATATAATGCGTGATCCAGTTAGAAGTTTCAGTGAAAATTCTTTATCTAAAAAGCATTTAAGAATGCAGAGCTCGCCATACTGTGGGGAGTGGTTGAAGTAAGTAGTATGCGCTTAAAATAAAGCAGATGAGCAGGCATGTACAAGAGAGAAAGGTTTATAAACCTTATGCTAAGACAGTAGTAAGGTGGGAGCGACTCATGGAATTTAATGTAGATCAATTGATCTAAATGTCCTGATTTGGTGTAGTAAATTCTGTACACGTGCATAAATTGTTTTGGGGTGGGTGCAAGGTAGGAGAATGGGTTTGAGAAACATAGTAACCATGAACAAATAGCAGAGCAGACTTGATGGGCCAATGGGCCAAATGGCCTAATTATGCTCCTATATCTTATGGTCTTTATGGGTAACTTTGGTATTTTCTTTTTTTCCCAAATGTAGGAGGTGACCATAGACAGGAAAGGACAACCTGGTCCATCTTTTGTACATGTACAGATTCATCTCTCTGCTGTATTTGTACAGGCATTAAAATATTTCCTATTTTATGTACTTCTATAGAGTAGCAGCCAAAGAGTTACAGGAAGATGCCTTGAGTATTTATACTTACTTTCCTGCAGTACAACTTCAAATTGACTTTGAAATGGGATAAAGGTAGTTTGTTACTTATTTAATTTCAACAGCAACCTGAATATATAATGGCAACTTTAATGTGATAAACAATAAAAAGCACAATTCAACACTCGGCTACATATTGGCATTAGAGCAGATAACCAAATTCTTGGTCTGAGCATCGTAAGGGAGGAGAGACGCTAAGGGAAGAAGTGCCAAAGGCTAATGTGTAGGCAGCTGAAGGTGTAACTTAGAGCTGGGAGGTTAGATGGAGAGAGGAAATGGCAAGGTCATAAATTGAAAATTTTTAAATTGAGTTGCTTGCTAAAAGCCAATATAGTTCAGCAAACAGGAGTGATAAAGGAAATGCCATCTTTCCACTTAACTCTAATAGTTTAAGGCAAACCTGATTTAAAAGCAATTAAATTAATCAAAGGAGTATAGAAGAGGGTCTTCAGGAATGGTGAAGAGGAGAAAAATAAAGCTAAAAACATGTGCCTTTTAAGTAACTTTTTATGATCTAGGTTATCTTTGGAGAATTAAAGTTTCCACACTAATGCAAAGCCATTAAAGTTCATCAATTTTAATCATCATGAATGATGGTTTAACATGGATCTTGTATGAATTCTGTCAAATGTAGAGGTTAGTTTTTATAAAACGAGTACTTCACTGTAATGAAATGTTACATTTCTTTTTGATCCTTTTTTTAAGTTTGTTCATGGATCTAGGTCTTGATTTGCAATCCATGCACAATTGCTTATTTTGGATCTACGTGAGCAATAATCAGGTGTTACAACCTGCTGTTATTTAACCACAAAGATTAGAATCATAGAATTATACAAAACAGGTCAATTTCATTCAGTCCATCATTCTTGCCTCTTTTCTTTGAAAGACCTGTCCAATTCCCTTCTGTTTCCCAAAGTCATGTGTTAGTGTTTTTTTTTTTGAGTATGTTCCAGATGATAACCCCCCAAAAAAACCACCTTATTTCACAACTTATTGTTTGATAGTTATCTTAAATTTGTGGCGTCTCCTGTCAATGGAAACAGCTCCTCTTCATTTTACTATTTAAACCCCTCCGTTTTGAACACCCCTTAAATCTCCCCATAACCACCCCTGCTTGGTGTGTTCCTAGGTTTTATTTAAAATCCCAAGATTATTTTCACATTTTTGAGAAGTACAATTTGGTGAATCTTCTCTCTGGTTTCTTTTCTACTTTAATCCACACAAGAAAACCTGTTCTTGGGACTGAGGGGATCAGATGAACAAGCCCATTATGTTTTGAAGTTTACTACAATTACATCATCTTATAGTTGTTCCAATTTCTGTTTCTAATGAGTAAAGATTTTTCTGATTATATGTATGTGCCTTTTATGTTCTTTGCCATTCCTTTCATGTGAAAGGTAATGTCTGTCATGGACCTGGTGCATTTGCTTAAAACAGGAATGTGTATGTTTTCTTTTTAATCAGGCACAGAACCTCACGCCACCTGACTACAATTTGAGATGGTCTGGCCTGATGGTGACTGTCGGTGAAGTGTTGGAAAGGAGTTTACCCCAAGTCAACCGGACTGATTGGCACATCGTGTTTACAGGCATGTCTCGAAGGCAGATGATCTACAGTGCGGCCAAATCATTAGCAGGAATGTACAAACAGCAACTGCCATCAAAGTCCATTTAACAAGTAAAACTGTGGCCTTCTATTCAGTGGGGATTTTTTTTTTTTAAAAGGTGCTTCACTGCGCTCAAGAACGGTTTGACTTTTTGTATTTTTATACTCAAACAAAATTCATCAAAACTCAGTTGCTGAATCAAAACATATCTTGCAGCTGCCTCCATGCCAGAACAGGAATTGGTTAATTGGAGCTTTCCAGAAACTGAAGATCCAGTGTAAGGGGATGTTTGAAATATGCAGCGTTTTGCATATAATAACATTATATTGAAATAATTTTGCAATACTTTCGGTGTTGAAATATGACACCCAAGGAAGTAAAACGCTAAGAGTTGCTAATATTTAACTGATATTTTCAACCTCTTCAGGTAATCATCATAAAAAAAATTCCAAGTAATGGTTAATGTGCAGGCTATTCAAGTGCCAAATTTTTCTCTTGCTGTTCCCTACCTCTACCCTTCTAATTAAGGCTTAGAGGCTTGCAATACAAAATGATGGATACATGATTTACAAAATACAACTTGTTAACCCACTTTTTTTTAAAAAAGCAAAGGTTTAGCAAATGAATAGTCAAGTTAATTTGGAACAAGGTACAATGAAAGACAGCACAAACTGTCCAATACTAATCTTGGAAAATCTGTCTAACTAGATCATCTCACTGCCAAGTGAAGCTATTGCTGGGCTTGTTTGGATTATTTTTTACACTATTTTGTCATGTTTCTAAGGGAATAAAACTGAAATATCACAATTGATGCTGCTGTTTTCTTTAAAATGTTGCTTTAATTTCAACATCAGTCTGCAATTTTAATGCAATATGTTTTTTAAGTTGAAGTTTGAAACTTGTACTTTCTTATGCTGTGTTCTGATAACTTGTGTATACACTTTTTTCTAGTCAGTCTGTTCAGAGATGTCGTCGTACACCTCTGGAGCAGGTGGAACTTCAGCCCTGGCCCCTCAATCCAGGAGTAGGGATGCCACCATTGGGCCACGTGTACATACACACAAACTATTCCTTCCTTCAGTCTGTACAATTAACCATAGTGCAAGCAGTCTATACATAAACTACAGCCAAAGTGCTTTATTAGTAACATTTCAGTTTGGTTCTTGTTTTGGACCTAACGCCCAAACTGGGTTGCTGACTGCTTTCACAGTGGTATTGCATCTGTGGATTTTTTTTCCCCTAAAGATTATGCAGTCACATTAATGACTATACATGTCAATAAATTTTACATTTGTGTAGCTACAGTTATCTGCCTTTATCTGCCAAAAACTGTACAACACAACTTAAAAACACTGGTCAATTTTCATTTTATCTTTCCCTCCTGTGCATTTTGTTTTTAAAAAAAGGGAATAGAAGTCCAGAACAAGGAGGACATAGCCTTAAACTTAGAGCAAGGCCATTCATAAGATGTATGATCAAATGTAGGCCATTTGCGTATTAAGTCTGTTCTGCCGTTCCTGTTTCTTCATGAGTTAGGTGAAAACGAGTCTTCACACAAATTGTAATGGAAATCTGGAAGTCTCGCCTGAAAAGTTGATGTCTACAGTGTCAGTTTAAAATTTGCAAGCAAGTTAGTTTTCTATTGGACAAGAATTTTAAGGTTTATGCAACCAATGCAAGTGGATGGATATAGGTAGAGATCAGCAATGATCTAATTGAATGTCTGAAGAAGCTCGAGGGCTGAATGACCTCCTGGTCTTGTGTGGAGTTTGCACATTCTCCCTGTGTCTGTGGGGTTTCCAGCAGGTGCTCCGGTTTCCTTCCACGGTCCGAAGATGTGCAGGTTATGTGGATTGGCCATGGTAAATGTGGAGTTGTGGGGATAGGATAGGGGTCTGGGTGGGATGCTCTTTGGCATGTTGGTGCAGACTCGGTGGGTTGAATGGCCTCCGTCTGAGCTGTAGAGATTCTAAGTTTTACAATTCCATTGTGGAAAGGTGAAATTTTCAGTAGCTTCCTCTTTGCTTTTGTTAATTGTGTTATGTGTCTTGTCTACATTTCTGATTGGGACTCCTGCATTGAGAGATAAGTAGCAGGCAAATCAAAGAACATGGATTTACCAAAGACGCCTTTTGATTATGAGTTCGTAAGTGATCAAAGGTAATGGTTCAGCAAGCAAAAGCAGATCCTACATTAGCAGCAGCTAGATAATGGGTACATTGTCATCTGTCGCGGGCTTGTTCTATTGCGAGGACCATGTTTTTATCAGGAAGTGGATTTGAAGCTGGTTTTCTAATCTTTAGTTTCAGGATTTGCTGATCATTAATTGAAAATAAGAAATAAGCATTCAGAAAATTCTATGCAGCCGTTTCCTTTGTGCAGCAGTGAGAAAGTGGTATTTATTGAGAAATACAAAATGCGACATTCCATGTTCTTTAATGGATTCAATTTACTTTTTTCCACTGTTTTATGGCTAATACAATGGCATTACTGCCTTCCACACTATTGATTTGCTGACATTTTAAAGTTACTGAACTTGTGTCCATGGGTTCAGTGTAAAATTGTCCTATTTTTAGAATGTGCCCCATTAATAAAAGACATTGAAGACTTATCAGTTATTTCTAAGTAACATTTCAGGCGAGTATATATTGATTTGGAGATTTGTTAGTTGGGTATGCCTTGTCACCAAAGTTCATGTTTTTTGAGTTGGAATAAAAAGTCCCTTCAAACTATGACAGTAAAATGCTTCTCTTTGTTTTGTTACAGTTCATAACTTTGGGTTACCTTAAGTTCAGGTTTAAATTGTGTTTAGAGATGGTAATAAAAATCAGGGACCCACAGAATAAACTAACATGTCTGGTTTGTGGCATATTAGCTAGAATCAGAACTGTAGAATGAGCAACACAGGAGGTGGTCATTCAGCTTGTCTGCTGACTGTCTGTAGGTACAAATCACCTAGTGACACTCCCATTGACCTTGCAAAGTTTTTTTTTCCCCCTTTTACAAGTAATGACCCAATTGCTTTTTGAAAGCCTTAATTGACCCTCTCTCCAATACACACTCTCGGGCAGTGCATTCTAGTTCCGAACACTGGTGTCTCTTCAATCACCTCATTTGTTCTAGAGGTCAGAAGAACAAGAGGTAGTCTAATTCAAATATCAAACATCTTCAAGGGCTTGTTTCATAAGAGCAGAACTCGACAAATCAACCTTTCATCTGCACCATTCAGTAGGAACACAGTTAACCTTCACCTTGCCTGAGATAAGGTGTAGAGCTGGATGAACACAGCAGGCCAAGCAGCATCAGAGGAGCAGGAAGGCTGATGTTTCGGGCCTAGACCCTTCTGAAGTGGTGTGGGGGTGGAGGAGGGGAGGCTGTTTGAGACCTTTCAGAGGTTTGTTTCAATGAGAAAGTTTTCATTCTTATAAACTCCAAGTACACACTCAATTTATTTAGCCCCTCATCATAGGACAGCCTCCTTTTGGGCTCTTGTGCAGTGGTAGTGTCCCTACCTCTGAGCCAAAGGGCCTAGATTAAGTCCCACCTGTTATAGAGGTGTCATAACATCTAGACAAGTTGCTTTAAAAAATCCAGTTTTGATTTACAATCAAAAGCTAGGACAGTTTCCTTGGCCCAGGAACTAATCTAGCAAACTTTTCCACATTCAAAACTAGGGCATCATATCAGGACAATGGATCAACTGTTTCAGATAGATTTGAGAAAATATCTTTATTTAGAGGGTTGATGGAGAGCTGTGGATGGTCAGTCATTGTGTATGTAAATTTAAATGCAGGCTTTTGAACATTAAGGGAGCCAATGAAATATGGGGATAGAGTAAGAAGAGTTGAACTAGGAAATCAACCATGATATTATTTAGTTAGAGAATCAATTCAAGGGTTTTAATGATCTAAACTTTTGTGTATTCTTGGGTTATTCCTTATCAATTCAAATGTTGGCTGGTCAGTCTACAATTGATGCCAATAAAGTATTACTGGTAGATGTCTTTTTTAAGCAAAGATTTAGTAAATAAGATGAAAGCAACAATAAGTTATAAAGTGTTTAGATCGTCCCTAATCCTAGTGTATTCTGACCTGCCATCACTACAGAATTTCTCTTATTTATTATTGATTGTCTTGGATACAAGGTGATTGGTACGTAGGAAGATGAGGTGGCCATTCAGTCTGTTGAGCCTATGTTGTAGCTGAGACAAATATAAAATATAGATTGGCCATTATCTTCCCGTTGTGGTTCTGTAATCTTAGATTTTTGGTAAACAAGAACACGGAAAATGTCAATTTTAATTTAAATTCTTTTTGGGAAGTATTCGAAATTCCCACTTATTGTTTTTGTGACCCCTGGTTGACCCACCTCTCAAGCTATACCTCCTCATCCCCATAAGATGATGGATTCTCTCCAACCTTCCATCTATTTTCAAGGGAACATGATGCAAGACAATCTTTGTAATTCAACATTGAGTAATGTGAAACACCAACAGACTTGCACAAGAGGGTGCTGTTGAGGTAAAAAGTATCTGTATTGTACTTTATTGTGGATGTGGATGGCCCTTCCATGCCTGACTTATGGGAGTGCTTGAGCATAGAAAAAGGATAATGCTTGCATCAGCCTGATAAACTGGCTGTCCTCCTCTTCTGGTCCAATGCTGTAATTCTAATGCTGCTGACACTGGATGCTATTCCCCAAATGCATCAGAAGTCATTTGTTTATGTGGAATGCAGTTCATATGTCCTCATAGGACAGAGGCTTTTTAGAGGGGCCTTGCCTAACTGTTTATTTTCTAGTATCTTTAACCTCGTAAAACATAAATTCAAGACACTTCACAGGAGTGTTAGAAAAAAAATACAAGATGAAATTGGTACTCATGACTAGTGGTTTGCCAAAGAGTTTTATTTTAAATCGCATTTAGGAAGAACAAAGAGGTAGGCCACTTTAGGGAGACAATGCTAGAGTGTAGGCATCTGAAGGAATAGATACCTCCAAGTGGAGCAATTTTATTTCAGGGATGCATAAAAAATCAAATTTGCAGTGGAGTGATCTCGGTTGCTTGCTGGGGAAGGTTAGAGATGCGAGAGATCTGCTTAATGAACATTATAAAAACCACTAGTGTTAGCGTTACCCATATTAAATGCTCTAGTTGCATTATTGCCTGAGCAAATTATTGTGGGCTTGTTTGGAAAGGAAGTGTTCGAAATAATGAATTTGCTTTGGGGTCCTGCATTGGATGATTCCAGTTTAACAAAATTTTTTTTTTTTTTTTGTTAGAGCTCTGTCCCAAGTCATCCTACTTTGGTTTTGACTGACATGCTATGCTAACTGGAATTATAGTGTTAACATCCATTAATTGGAATACATTAACTTGTAGACAATGTGCACATCATCAACATCATGTTCAAAATGCTATATTTAACTCTTACTATTGGTAACAGAAATACTTTAAACAACGTTTGTATGGAGCACTTGACCTGAAATTTTGTTCGTTTATAATTACAAGTTGCATTTAATTTATAAAAGTGTCTCGTCTTAATTTTTTTAAGAAAATATGTATTTCACCCATGTTTGCAGCCACTATGTGACTGAATCACATAACAACAAGATGCTAGAATGGATGACCAAAAGCTTGGTCAGAGAAATAGGTTTTAAGGAACATCTTAGAGAGGTTTGAGGGGCAAAAATATCATCAACAGGATCATCTGTTTATTTAACCACAGTGCACACTCCCATTGTGTACTACACCTTGTATAAACTATGTAAACGTGTTCAGCTGCGTAGTCATAATGTTGTCTTCCATGTAGC